AAAGAGTGTCAACAGGAGCTATCTTGATGCACTGACTCAGCAGCTGTCACAGCTTCTTTCAAGCTCTCCTCGTCTTCTGGCTTTGGCTGATGCGCTGTTGGCAGTCCAGGACTGAGGCAGCTGCTGCTCCTGTCTCCTCCTGTCACTGGCACTGCCAGGGCGGTTTCAGCTCTTCCAGTCTGCTGCCACCCAAGTCCTGGCTCTCAAATGGAAGGCAGCCAAGATGTGATCCTCTTTCTGCTGAAACAGACAGCTTCTAAGGCTCCTGCTTCTGGTGATCTACCAGCCCCAGTGCCAGGAGTAGGGAATTACACAACTATAGATTGTATACAAGAAGAACATCATCCCTCAGTCGTTGCCTGTTAAGATGCAAGCTGGAATTTCTGAAAGGTCCGTGTGCTTTGCCAGCATACCACATGCAATGTGATTACGAAAGGATGCTCACATCACCTCAGATCGTGCATCACGTCCCTACTGTGCACTCAAAATATGCAGATGATTTAATTTCAGTTCACTGCAGAGGTGGGGTAAGGCAACTACCTCCATCTTGCCTTCTGGGAAAAGTTTCATCAGGTGTAGTAACAGATGTAAGTCTGCTGAGTTGGAAAAAATATGGCTGGTGCTAGAATCAGCAATATAATGCAATGTATTAATATTAATAATAATAATAGCAATAAAATATGACTGGTCAGAATTTAGATAATGGCCCACAGGTTGGATGGGAAGAGGCCATTTCTTGAGATGTGTATTACGTGCTGGAAGGAGAGAATGCAGCTCTAGGTTCTCCCATGTTTTCATTACAATTCTTCAGGGAATGGAAGATATCACAGTTCCTGCTGCATATAAATGAAAGCAAAGGGGAACAGTGACTACTGCACGTTAGGGAAGCTGGGCTGGACGGGGCCCTGAGCAACCTGATTCAGTTGAAGATGTCCCTGCTCGTTGCAGGGGGGTTGAACTAGATGACCTTTAAAGGTCCCTTCCAACCCAAACTATTTTATGAAGATTCAGTAGGTGTTTAAACAGAGAGGACTTGCATAACAAAACCAGAAGAGCTAGATGCTATACTGATACTTGTGTTTACAATTTGCAGAGTGGGAGTGTGACCTAAAGCCAGTCTGGAGAGGTGTTCCTTATGTGCTTCTAAGACATGGGCCTGGTAGCAAGAAAACGAGATTTTGCAAGATGGCTAAGTCTGCTTTTAAAATCCAAGATTAAGGTCTAACTTTGTTTTGATTTTCTGTGCCTGGAGCAGCTCACTGAGAATTTCAAGAGAAATTGTTTAATGAGCCATGCTAGCTTTGACTTGTAACACCAGGCTAGAAGTGGAGTAGTACACACAATAAGGTCTGAAAAAGGGCTGAAGTTATGGCTGTGTACTATTAGCTTGTGAAACTATCTGTTTACTATCTGGTAAAGATGAGAAACTTTAGCTCAGATATACTATTTTAAAACATTCCTCCCATATTCTGCAGAGGATAAAGAAGCAGTAGGGATACAGAACATTTTGTAATGATTAAAAAAAAAAATCTATTAAGAAGAAACACTTTGCCTCAATTTGGCAAATAAAGCATTTTTACTGAAGAAAAATATATGTATGAAAAACTTCTGTGAAAGTCCGTAGCATATGAGTAAGATCCTTCAAAGTACAGCTGAGACTGAAGTATCTTCTTTGAAAGAAGAAAAGGCAACGCAAACATACACACTGCTTATTCACAGAACGTTTACATCTTCAATTTTACAAAATAGCCACATTTTCTAAAATGCTCCTCTGAAATGCCTGATTAAAACACAGTGAACCAAAATATCCCATCAGTAGCAGTTCATCACATCTATAAATCCAATTTAAATCTAGTTATAACAGGAGTGTGAGACAATAAAGAACAGCATAAGAGCAGTAAAAGGAGCTTCTAGTTGACAATGAATACCATATATATTTTCAAAATACCAAAATGAAGATAAAAGTCTTAAATTAAATTACACAGTTCTGTAAATGAGTAATAAACAGATCTAAGATAGCACGTGTGTGCTTTTCTGTCCAGTTGCCTCCTGGAAGGAATGGAGTGACTTGAGACTGCAATTTACAGGATTTTCTGTAGGATGGAGTTGGCAACTTCCAGGGATTCATCTTTCACCAAGACAATATCGTAAGAGTCCATATATTTTTCCAAAAGCTCATCTACCTAATTGCAGAAGGGGAAAAGAGAAAGACCCACTTAGTCTTAGAATTAATTCTCTGAAGACTTTTTGTCATTAAAATGTTGTGCAGTCTTTCCACCAAATTAAGGGAATGAGCCATGCAGATATGTATCACTCATCTGAGGGAATGACAGAGTAAGCGTAGCCTTAGATAACCACATGTGCATTCCAGGATACAATACCTCACGTTTATTCCAGGTCTCACACATAAGGATACTGAAATAAAAACTACTTCCCCAGCTTCCCAAAAGGCAGAGAGAAATAGAAAACTGAAGTTTTCTCTCTCCTGAATGCAAACAGATGTGCATTATAATTTAGCAAACAATCAGTTCTCGGTCTCCTCATAAAAAAAAAAAAGGAAAAAGAAAAAAGACACTGCCTGAAATTTTTATTTGGAAGACTATAATTTTGCTCAATTATCAATTCATTATTGAAAGGAGGGGAAGGAGCCACAAGAACTTAAGAGAATTAATTTCTCTAGCCTCTGAATTTTAGTTCTCAAATGAAACACCTTTTCAGAAGTAGTTCAGTACAAAAACCAAAGCAATTTACATTTGTGGTTTTGTACCTTATGGATTAGAAAAAAAAAACTTGAGGTAAAAAATCCATGAAAAACATTTGAAATCTCAAATACGGGCCAAACACTTGGTTTGACAGCAAAAGCTTATTATAATGAACCTGTTCTGACTTGCAGTATTTCATTCAAAGTTCCAAAGGTTATAAGGCTACTTACTTTATCATTGAGATAGCCAATCTTGAGAATGTGTTCAACATTGGCTACTCCATCTGCCATACTCAAGTCTCCTTGGGAATCACCCAGCAGTATGATATTACTGTTGTCTTTTAGTTGTTTGAAGTACTCTGTGTTCTTCAAGGCACCATCATGTTTGTTGTAAACATGAATCAATTCTCCTTTAAATCCTTTTAATATTCCCTATAAAAAAAACGACTGAAGTTATTTCTAGTATCATACAGACAAGACAGAATCTGGAATAGGTGATACTACTCTTGAACTAACATTGAACTATGCAATCTCTAATGATGAACAAGATAAATTAGTATTAAATACCGTAATGATTGTAATAGCATTCTCCCTGCTTGGAGGAGTAGCGCTGGGCTGAGGTTGTTATTAACGGAAATGAATGGTATCTTAGTCACAGCATGCTATCAAGTGTTTGAACTGTTATCCTCTGCTTGTTTGTTTTCCTGGGAGAATGCTGAGTATGCAATTCTAATTTTCTGTGTGGTAGGGTAAATAGCTACATCTGTTGTATTAAAATGTTCACCTTGTAGTATATATAAAGAGCTACGAAATACCACAAACAGTCATGTTTGATAATAATGTGTTATTTCATACTTACATTTTCATCAAAATCCATGAAATTGGAAACCACTTTGACATTAGAATGGTAGACACCAGCCTGGTGGATAACTTCCTCAAGAATGTCCCCAATCCCAGCAGAAAATATGAACACAGGAATATTGTGTTCACTGAGCTTATCAAAGAAGTTCTCATATCCTTCTCTGTAACACAGCATGTAAATACAGATCAAATATCAAATAAAGCAAGCCAAGAAAAGCCCAAGTTTTCAGAAGACATTCACGTCATCTTTGGAAAAGAAAATTAACTTTCCCTGAGCGTTTCACTTTATTGCCTTTGCCTCACCTTTTCAGGTTAGTGAGAACCATCAACCTAACACAAGGCATGTAGTTTTAGCAAGAAACTCTTGCATCAAGCTATTTGGTCTGGGTCTGTATAATTCCATCTCACCCAAACATCTAATCAAGTTTTAAAGACTTAAAAACATTTATCCCTTCCCCAAACACACCAGAACAATCAAGCAACTAGTAGAACTCTCTCTAGCTACTATCAGACTACAAATATATGTTTGTTTTTACTCTTTCCTGAATGCTTTGTTGTTTTTAGTGCCCAATCAAAACTAGGTATAGTATTCCAGGAACAAGATAGTATTACTTCAAGACATGGTTTAGTGGGCATGGTGGTGTTAGGTTGATGGTTGGACTTGCTGATCTTAGACGTCTCTTCTAACCTTAATGATTCGGTGATCTCTATACACTGTTTCAACATACACATTGATTGGGAGAATTTTACATTAAAAAAAATAATGGTGAAAATTTTTGAGGGAATTTTAGCCTGTGAATGACGATTTAATCCTTGTGGACTTAGGCTTTCGAACAGGCAGACGGTGTGCTTGCCAGTTTTGCAAAAGACAAGAATTTAGCCAGTATGATAAACAAACACTTCCACAATTAAGTCTTAACATCTTGATTAACTAAAATCTACAGACAATTTTGGAGAACTTTGAGAGATTGGAGCCACAGTATATTTCAAGCAAGGATTTTACTGGCTTTTAAACTTGCCATAAAGGAAGAACAATATTTAATATAACATAGAAATATATTCCTCAAGTCACTGCATTTTTATCTCAGGGATTGTTTTTCAAAGGAACAAAGATGAACTCCACATTCCACTTACATAAAAAGAGCCACCAGTGCAGTTACAAGAGATTAAAGTCTACAGAAATGGAGTTTGTAGAGATGGAACTCAAACGTCTTATTTTTTTTTAAAGATCTCTAATGTATATTGCACGATCATTGTAAGCATTTAGGTAAAAAACATAAATTAAAGCAGGGGCATGAAAAGCTCACTATGTTTCCAGGTTATGATGTCACATTCTCAGAAATATTTTTGTTCCCCTGAAAACAGAGTAAAAATCCAAAGCAGTACTGTTCAAACCAAAAGGAACTTACTTCAGCATAACATCAGATTCCCTCACAATTTCTGCAAACTTGTCCTTCTGTAAGCCTTGTTCAATGAGTAGGGCATGAGATTTATTGTACCTAGAATATAAACAAAAAATGGGTAGAAATTGACTTCTAAAGATTTACCTTTCACTAAATCTCATCTTGAAAATCATCCTGTATGCTGTTAACTTGAATGAGTTAACTTGAATTAACCAAAGCAAAAACAGTTGTTGCACAACACTCTAAGAGATTAATTCAGTTAATACGTTAGCTAAAAGATAATTACTGCCATTAATTTGCTTTTAAAAACTTATTAAATCTAAGCGTAGTACAATTTGAAGATGGAAGGTGTCTCTTACCATTCTACCATATAAGGATATTTTTCTTCAATAGTGAGAGCTGGATCAATTTCAATAGCATAATATGTTTCTTTCAGCTGCAATAACTGAAGGGGAAAGAAGCAACAGATGTTTAATTTATTTTTATAAAATAACACTTGGTATTTGATCTAATAAATCAAAATAACTTCCTTTATTCTGGTTACCCTATTATGTAAAATGGAATCTGAAATGCTCTTTGAACTAAGAGTTAGCTTGTAAATATATCTAGGTAGACAAAGTGGATACTGTTAAACTGAGCTACGTGCTACTATCAAGAATACAAATATTTCTGTTCACTTCTGTTAGTGACTGGACGCCTTACAGTCAGTGAGAATGCTCAGAGAACTTTAAGGATTTGAAAGTATCTCTTGTCCTGTCATGCTGCATAATTCAACACACAGCACAGCCAGGGAATAAATCAGTTGTCTGAACAGCAAACCAACAGCTAGTAGGTTTTCCGTTTACCTTTTTCCGACATTCCTCTGTGATAAGCTTAGAGTTATCAATGATGTCTGGGGGGTAGAAAAAGAAAAGTGTTAAACAAGACATTATATCTCTTCTTCTTTGCTATATGACACTGGAAGTGGCATAGAAGACAATGTTTGATGACATACCACTATGTTTCCTCAGAACTTTTCTTACCAGCAACAGGCACATTTTTCTTCGTAAGCATGAGGATGTATTACTGTCCTTCCCCTCATCTCTGAATTACAAGGTTAATTATAAGCCTCTTATCTCTCTTTTGAGATGTAACTGTTTCTGAAATCATCATGAGGCATCCTATGTGTTTTAGGATTCCCACTTCATTATAAATTGATTTTTAAAAAAATTGTTTTAAAACATAAAAATGTCAAGATTTCAAAGGAATCTGCTATCTGAGTTTTGCAGGCATCAGGAGTATTATGAACTCTTTAAAGAAATTGAGTCAAGACTATCATATCTAGTCAGTAACATCTTATAGTTCAGACCTTAAGTTTAATTGTGAATGACAATGTACCTAATTTTAATTCACAAAGATTGTGATTAAAATATAAATACATAAAACACATATGGACACTCACTATAATACTTTTTCATTAGGATGTACAGGTTAGGCAATATAAAATCTAATAAATTAGGTTAATAACCTGGACAGAAAATTAAAATCTAGGAAAAACTGAAAGGAGTGAACAAACCAATCTATATAAGAAAAAAAAGTACTCACTATGACAAGTTGGACATCTTTTTCCATTGTAGGAAAATCTACTTAATGTCATATCAAAATCTGTAATAATCTATTTAAGGAAAGAAAAAGCAAAACTGTCTTACAACACGGAGAAACAAAAAAAAGAATGCCTAGAAATTCTGAACAGTCAACAGTAGTTGCAGTTGAGTTGCATACGTGTCACAGAAATCTCCCTATTTTATTGTAATGCAAGGCAGAATATCCCATAAGAATAACTTAATTCTTATAAAATTGTTTTTCTAATTCCTTTGGTCAGAATATTTCCTGAAATTACTAGACTTATATAATTTAGTTAACTAGTGTCTGGCTGAATTACATTTGACTCAACAAGGGCTATTTAAAATAGTTAACAGATGTCTAAGTTTTGGAAGTTACTTGAAGGCTGACTTCTGTTATACTCTTTGAATTTTTGGCACAGAGCAAAAATCATATGATTGAACTCATTCCAAACTGGTAACACCTTCCACTATCTTTACCTGAAGTTTGGCAGCTCCACCTTTGATGAGGCCACAAATAATCTCCTCTACTCTCCCTGGGTCCTTAATATGGACAGTCTTCTTCTGAAATTCTGGCATCTATGAAGAGTAAGAACAAAGACAGAAATACACTTACAGAGGAAAATTTACTATGGTAATACCTGCTATCTGTCAGATTGGAAGCTCTGCATCTATGAACAGTTTCATGTTCAAGACATGCTCAGGACAGGAAGGCAAGTTAAGAGTGCAAAAAACCAGAAAATACTCTGGATGTACTAACTCACGACTGCAATAAGTTCTATTTGCTTTCAGTTTTCATTCCCTTTCCTAATATCAAATTATTCAGTAAGATGACATTCATGGAGAAGATAATTGTATTTGTAGGAAATAAGGGAGATATATAGAAATATGACATATGGGATCACTTTGTGGTTCAAATACATCACTGGGAGACGGTAAACCTTAAAACTAGCTCTTTGTGCAGTTAATATGCCCTTAAAGTTTCAACACAGATAAAGAGGACAGGCTGATTTTAGACACCCACTGTTAAGTTGAGAAGGCTGCATGTGTCAATTTACTACTCCAGTACAAGGTCATGCAGTAATAATCCCTGCTCCCTAGCCAGTCCATCAATGATTTCCCATTACCTATTTTACCAAACACTTTTGAAATAACACATGCAATCACATCAAACATTCCTTCCGAATTAAGAATATTTTTGAATGTTATGATAAATGCTGATATAATAAAAAACCACAAAACAACCCCACAAAACCCCCACTGTCTCTAGCAACACCCACGCCCCCAAACCTTTGCTTACTCTAAAAGTTACTCTTCAACATGGAAAAAATGGTAAAAGAACTATTTATTGTCAGAAGTCTCCAAATTGAGTATATATTTCTTTCCTTTATAATCATATATGGACTCTTTCTAAAGCAAACGTATCAGATATTTGCAATTTGTCTACATAGGCATTTATTAAAAGTAAATTATATTTTCTGATCATAGAACTTCAGAGATGACGAAGTGCTAGGAATTACACTGTTCATATCCTGTGACCATTCGGCTTTCCTTTTTTTTACACCTAGCAAGTAATCTTTGCTGCAATGAGCTAATTTAAAAAAAAACAAACAACTAACCAAACAAAAAAAAACCAAGCAGCTTCTATTTCCAGAGACATTTCTGGAACCAGAGTTCTCATACCACCAATTGTTAATAAGGCACACAGCACTTTTTTGCTGCTTTTGATGCTGCTAAGGCTTTTGTTTATTATTAACAACTGACTCAAAGTCAAATTGCAATTAGATTATCATTTAAGAAAAAGAAGACACTTTAAAGGCTTGCAAACACATGCTTTTGTAATGGAAAAGACATTCGTGTGTCAAGAAAAAAGAAGGAGCTGGAGGTACCTTTAAATATAGACTCTAGTCCATGCTGCCCTTAAATGGGAGCAAACAATTACAGCTACATCGTTCTCAGTAGATAGTTGTCTAAACTCTACTCACATATTCCTCACTTTATTCAACCATGTATTTTAGTGTTGAACTATCTTTAAGTTCAGAAAAGTTTGCTTAGTTTCTATTTAACCTTCTTTACTGAAATTCCAGGTCATTCCACTTGGAGGAAAGGGTTCTTTTTTCACACGTGCTCACTGGATATTTTTTCTTTCTTCCTGAACTAGAGAATCCCAGTTTCTTCAGTCTTCTTTTGCAGAGCACAATTTTCTATACCTCTTACAATTCTTGATGTTGTCCTGGCCCATCCATTTGAACCATACAGTTCTTGAAACACAGCATCCATAACTGGGTATAATCTTTCCACTCTGAAAGGCCTCAGCTTTGGCCTATGTCCTCTTCAGAGAATATCTTTGCATGTACATTTGAATACATTTACTTTGTTAGCAGTAATATGGTGGTAATGATTCAAATTCAGTTGGTAATGACCAAATATTCTTCAAAGTTACTCCCAGGCAGGAACAGGTAGCTGCAAAACATGCTAAATTTCACATTTAGTCTTGCTGGATTGAACCTTTTCTTCCACATCAGTGCTCCAATTTTTCAATATAACAAATAATTCTAATCCCCAGTATGCTTACTGCTACTTTCTGGCTGATATCCTCAAAGACACTAATGGAAACAGAAATCCTTCTAAAACCCAAATCATGAGTCTCTGATAATTTTCCAAGGTTTTCCATCCATCCAAAAAGTTTCACCTATACCAGAATATTTTGACAAAAATTCTTAAGTCACAACAGGGTATTTACTACTTCTTTGCTTTATGAGTCTCATAAAGAAACAAACTGCATTCATTTAAGTTAGTTTGTCACCTATGGCAAAGGTGGTACCTCCCAAACCAAGATGGTTGTTCTCTATAGGGCTGCAGTGCTTTGCTACTTTTATTAGCACAGCAAATTCAAAAAAGGTACATTAGGACTGGCTTCCGACTATCAGCTAGATCCCAAACTGGGAATTATTGAGAAAGCTAATGAGTATTTAAAAAAAAAAATCCTGAAAAATATCCATTATCCAAAATTTGACTCTGTTTTGTAATTTTTTCATTGTAACTTGACTAATCCAATTCCCTTGATTTTCAGGAGGCAAATTGTATATGTATTTTTAGCCCTGGAAAGCAAAAGTTAAACAAAGTGAAACTTAAATGTGTGCTTTTGTAAGAAGTAGTTCAAGCATTATTTGGTTTACTTAGATACTAAGCAACAGATTTCCCAATATAACTGATTTACACAGAACAGATGTTGGGGGAGATGGAGAGATCAGAGGAGGAGGCTGTATAAGGGATGTTGGATTGCTCACTACTGTTTTATTTCAGACTAAGGCCTTTCATAAGTTTCTGAAACAACCTGAGGAAAAACCTCCTTAGTAAACACTTCAGTAGGGGATGTTAAACAAGATATTGCTTAAGATTTTAAGTATGATGAAAGTTTCCTGCTTTGATGTTGTAAACTGATACTCCTACTTAAGATCAGTTTTTAAGGTTCATTTATTTCTAATACATTTTTCATTTTTACACAAAAATTCAAGTCAGTTGAAGAGTATTTTAATTTAGGGGAAAAAAAGTCTTCTGCAGTGAGTATAACACAGACAATTTCAGTCTCACAGGCACTTTCCTAGGCAAAAATAAGTCTTCATTATGGGTATGGCATCTGATAACACCTCAGATGAATATGGTTAGTCAAAATAGCCACCGTCCCCACCACTAGTTCCTTGTATTCATATCTGCAACTGTACATTAATTAGCAATCCTTTTATTTAGGCTTTGTAACTATTGTATTAGAAGTAAACAAAACTGTCTAACAAACAGTCACCAGTTTTCTGTCAAACTCCTTCAGTGTCTTACACTTCTGCCCAGCATAGCTGTTGGTGTTTTTGTTGCATATTTGCCATTCTTCACAGTTGAAAGACACAAGCAGATTCCAGTTGCAAAGAACTGGTAAAACAGATGAAAGAACAAAGTGCTAATAAGAGAAGTTCAGTCAATTTCATAAAATTTGTGTTCCTATTAATTGTTAAAGAAAGCTCTAGGAGTCAACTCGGTATGCACAAGAGGCCCAAAATTCTGATGCATGAGTTGACCGGGAAGAACACACATGGAGAAACAGACAAACAAAAATCTCCACAGCACCTAACAAAGGCAAGAAAGTTTTTCAGAGTAAGGAGCTTCTACATACAGAACTAGGAGCATAAGCACAGGAGAAGGTATTAATATTTCATTGTGACTTCTGAAAGTAAATCACATTGAATTACTTGAGTATCCCTATCTATTATGTCATTTTATAAAAGTGTGAGAAGAGTTTTGTTTTCATACCAAGGACATCTACATTTTACTTAAATAGCTCAGAGACTGGTATCTCTTTTAAAACATGTTAAAAGATGACAATTCCTCAAGTAATTTGTGGTTGATATATACACTGCCCACAAATACATTAAAGTTTCTAGTCTCTGACATTTTTAAGGAGCCTTCAAAGAGAAGCAAGTGGAACAAAACTGAAAAAAGATTAAAGGTTGAGCTTAATTTGAATTATGAAAAGGAAAAAAAGATCTGCTTGTTTGTGATAGCAGGTAACTGGAATAAGGATGTAAGAAAGTCTTTGGTAGCTAACAATGGTACAGTCATACCTTGATGAATGAACAGTAATGGATTCACGCAGGTTTGGAAATCCCCCAGTCCTACAAACCACAGAATGGGACACTTACAACATGGATAGTTCTGAAAATTACAAGTCTGTTTAGTACGAGACATGCATCACTGGGTTAAAGAAAGACGAACAGGATTTACTGTAAAGAACATATTGTATTCTAGTTTCAAAACAAGATTTCTTATATACAACAGGATAGTAAGACTGCAAACAGAGCTGCTTTTATGCTGTATCTGGGTGCTGCGTATTTTTTTCTCAGTATTTGAGACCGTGTGTATCTAAGTGCATGTTGGGTTAGCTGGATTATTAAACAAGAGTTGGTGATAATCACTAAAATGAAAGGCAGGTATCTATGTGAATTCTCAGCTGCCATAGTAGGCATTTCCAAGCAGGTATCCTAGTGAATTAAGAGCTGATTGTGCGCACAAGGTGTAATGTCATATTCTGGAGTTAAGGTTGTACTGAACTTTTGAATCTACTGAGTGCTGGAGGAAGAGCG